GCGTTGACAGCAGAACTTATAAACGGTGGGGGTTTTTCTGTTGAAAAAATAGGATCTTTTAGTGAATACTTAAAACTAGAAACTGGACGAAGGAAAAAGAAAAAAATTAAAATTTGGATTTTTGGCAACGTTTTTAGCAAGAACATTCAAATTTCGCTACAATTTGCACCACATTTTGGTTTCTAAAAATTCGATTTTATGAAAGAAACGAAAATCCTTCGTGCAAGTTCTTGTCAATAGTATCACGAAGACGTGTAGCAAATTTCATGAAAATCGGTTAAATAGTTTTCGAGAAATCTTGACAACCGACTTTAGAAAAAGCGTTTTGAGAAAAACGCGTTTAAAGATTTGAGTGCTTCTCAAGACTCTATCTTTAAAACTACTACTCCTATCGACTTCAAAATTGAATACAATATTCTAGATGAGTTGTAGAATTTAAAAAAGACAAAAAAAATTTGTTTGAAAGTTCCAAACCCATGTAACCCCTTAACCTACCGTAAATTCCAATAGAAATTTAGAAATATTGTTTTTAAAAAAGAAGATATGTAATAATGAATATGATCAATTTATTCGTGAATAGTTTTGTTTTTTTTTTCAACGATAAATGTTTATCGAATAAATTGTAATTAGTTTGAAAGATACTGGCAACTTAGGATTTAGTTAGTATGACATGGTTTATTTTATCGGTAACGACGTGCCAGTAAAACTCAAGGGTTGGTGGTTCACGTTAAAGAGGAGAAAGAAAAGAAAAGAAAAGAAAAGAAAAGAAAAGAAAAGAAAAAGTAAAGGAAAGGAAAACTGTGATAACGAGAGAGAACTCAAGGTGGCACGGTACCGGGGTTAAAACTGGCGAGAGAAGAGGAATGGAGGAAGAACCCCCTGCGGACTGCGCAGCTGTGAACCTCCCGTTAATTCTGCTGGGTAATACGTGAATTCGAGATATATCGAACTCAGCAGGACTCGTTGCCATTTTGCAAAAGCCGTGCTGGTTGTTGTTAGTCGAGTTTCTCTGACTACCATTTCTCAGACTCTTCAATTTGAACCCCTCATTGCATCTTCAATTAAATATCATATATAATATTTTCCTCTTAACGTTCAACTTTGTTTAAGACGTCGTTTAAAAAAATACAAAAACAATCACTAAAACCTATCAAAATTACTGCGTTGCAATTTATTGTTTATCTCTATAAATATAATATTTTATTTATTATTTATACATAAGTTATAAAAACAAAATTTGCAAATAACATTGGGATAGTTAAAATAAATATCAACGAAATTACTATAAAAAATTACAAATCAAATTGTATCTCTAACAAAATATAAAAAAAAAATCACGGTGTGAAATAATTAAAATATTTTATAATGTGTTAATAAATTATTAATATATCTCATATGTGTAAAATTTGAAAATGTAACATTTAAGAAATTACAATTCGTATAAAAAAAAACAAACAAACAAAATAAACAATACGTTAATGTTATCGAAATATTTGAAAGGATCCTTCAAATCTGATCATTAATTCCGACTAAATAATGATCAGGAATCACGCATATCAACGTCCAAATATTTAAGTACTGCTCGTTGATCGAAGGAAATGCGTCAACTGGAGGGGGTTGATGTGAACATGGTCGAGTTATGGGACCGTGGAAAAGCAAGTGGGGGGTTGTGTATTGTGTCTGCCGTCATCCTCAGTCGAGGCTTGGCTTTCCTTACCCCCAAATGCTAATTATATGTCAAGCATTCACACGACGTATCACGAAAGGCCGATTGTCGGTGATGGAACAATGCCGGGGGCAAGGCTAATAGGGCTGATCAAGAAACGAGGACAATGTCGGACAATCCTAAACGTCTCACTTTTCGGTATTACCTCTGATCGATGCGTCTCAATTACGAAACAAAAATAATTATCTATTACACGAAATATCTGACGCAACAATAATGAGGATACATTAATATTGGGGTTATATATTAACATTGTATATAATTACTAAGTTTAATTCTTAGGGATGTTTTTTTTTTGGACAGATTTAAATTAAATGAACAATCTCTTTATCCGTTGAACGTTTCGTCCCTATATTTGGGACATCCTCAGCAACTCGATAGTTATGTTCACTAGTCAATCTAACATCATTTTTCATTACAGTCATAAGTATTTATTATCTTATATATAGAGTCAATTTTAAACCGTTATGCTACCATAACTTTTCGAGCACTATATATAGTATATTATAATGTATATAATACATTAATAATTAAATATACAAATATTTTTCTTATTTTACAACAAATTATTTAACACGTTCACGCCGGGGCCGATTATAATTTGTTTTGCTATTAGGCCACGCTCAAATTAATATCGCGCTTCATCTGGTTTAATGCGGGTCACCGGTGGCCCGCGCCGGCGTGAACGTGTTAATTGTCGACCATAAAGATGCTTTCAAATGTTCCATGCGTAATTTACAACAACAACAACAACAACAACAAAACACAAATACGGTAGATTTGTCGAATTTTGAAGTTCCTTCCCCCAACCCCTCCCCGACCCCGTAGAAAATCAGAAAAAAAATTCAACAACCTAGGAAGTTAGTATTCTCCTGTGTGGCTTATTTTCCTTATCACCACTTAAGGGAGAAAAGCGATAGGCGTCCAAACGCATGCCGAGATACACACGTAAGAGGTAACCATGATTGATGCGCCCTGTACACGCAAATCCTCTAACAAACCATCCCTCTCTTGGGTGGGTTGTGGGGCTCTCTTCATTTGAAATTTTTATACAAGTGAGATAGGAATTACTGTGTTTCTCTCTCGTTTATCCTAATATAATTTTCAAATTATTTGTCATTTCCATGCAAAACTCGTAATTTTGAAAAAACAAATGATTCTTCGTTTACAATCGTGTTCTGATTGTTCAAATAAATAATTTGATATAACTAATATTGATAAACGATCGTTGATATTCTTTTTCTATTACAACAATCGTACGGTACTTTCAATTATTCTCGAATCCGATCAGAAATAAATGGACTAGTAAGAGAGAATGAAGTGTCTATCGTTCGGATGAGGATAAAGGGTACGAGGGGGTTAGGGGGGTAGGGGGAGAGAGGTAATTAGCGAGTTGGCAACGTGACGAGTAAATTTGCAAAGCCATTTCAAGTTCCTTCGAGGTTCTTCGATTTTCTTTAACGTTCCCATCTAATCCCCACGAATGATCATCCTTTAATAGTTTATCGAAGCTGATTGGATTTGTAACAATCCTTGGTAAACTTTGTACATTTTCTGCCAATCATAATAGATACGTTTTCTCAAATATTGTCTATTTTAATTTATTTCAACAAAATCTTGACTATTAATAAATGTCTGCGGTAGTATTTGAGAATACCACAAATCCAAAATAATTGAATATGCTAAAGTTAGGAAAGTTACATTCTCACAAGTTTATCATTAAATGCAACAACAAATTACAATTATTTTGATTGCTAGCTATCAAGTAGAGTATCTCTTAGATACGGGTAGGTACTGAAAAGCTAATATTTTTATTATAAAACCTTGAATTATATTTCCCAGTATCTACACATTACATGATAGATGTATCTCCAAATACGTCAAACAATTCATTCATCAAAATAAATGTTAATTAATTTCCCCTGCACCGGTTAAAAAATCATTACAATTATTACAATTATTTCCAATCGTATCCCCAATTACATCATACCAACAATCCAATATTAAAATTGCAATGAATCCAAATAAGAAAATAAAAAAAAAGAACAAAAGAACAATATTGAACAACGTTTACGCGGAGAGAACAAATGAAATGGATGAAGTCGGTCGCGTGGGTCGGTTGGTCGGTCGGTCGCACGATCGAATCGGTTCGAATTAAGAAAACAAAATGGTCCCTGCTGCTCGAGCCATGGTCGTCGGCCATGCTTTAGCCGAGATTGAAATAAATTGGTAGAATTGCTGGGTGGCTGCGTACCGCGAGAACGGGGAACGATACTGATTACGTCGGCCGTTCGTTAAGCACTGTAACAATGCCAACCCCCACCATGTTTCTTGTAGTTACCACCACCTCCCGCCCCCTCCCCATTTCCCTCCCCATCCAACTCCCCCTTCCACTCCCCCTTCTACCCTGCTTCATCCCTCCCCAGAGGTTCGCACGACCGATAACTGCGCTAGCCAATCGTCTATCGTTCTACCCCACCATTACCAACCTTCTGCGGCTTTACCCTGTGCTTTTTACTCTTTTCTATTTCTTTTTTTCTTTCTTTTTCACACATACATACACACACATACACAGATAGAAACGAAGAAGAGGACGACGACCACAGACGGAAACAGAATAACTATACCTATAAGAGGAGGATAACTTTCGGCTCTCCAGACTACCAAGCTCAAACTTACCACTGAAATTCTATTTAAAAACTTAATATAAATCCCAATGTATTGGATATGTATTATTAGATTTTTTTCAATAATTAACATTGATACACATCAGTTTTTAATAGAAGTGGTGGTGGTTAGACGACAATAAAACGATACGAAATTTGATCATTGCAATGGGAACATGGATTGTTGTAGAAAGTGTGACAATAATAATTGGACACGATGCTTTAAAAGGAAATAATTCAGAAAAAGATACTGAGGGAGTTTAGATAATTGTTGAAAAATGTCGAATGTAACAAAAATTGTGAAGAAAAAAGGTAGAAGAGGAACGAACGAACGAAAGAAAGACATGTGTCGAAGTTTTATCCGTTGCATAAAAAAAAAAGAAAAAAAAAAGAAAGAGGAGTATGGGGTGAGGAATAATCGCGAGCTTTGTTGGTGGTAAATTTTGGACAGTGGTGGTTCGTCGTTCCATGGCGGCGAACGATGTATTCTCTCTCTTTCTCTCTCTCTCTCTCTCTCTCTTTTTGGCTATAGGTCATAGGGGCGTTTCAGGGGTGCGAGGTAACCGTTTTCCCTCCTCACTCTCTCTCTCTCTCTCTCTCACTCTCATCTCTCACAGCGGGCTCGCTTTTCCACTTATCGACCCCCACGGTTATTAGGGCTGCCTTTGCCTCCAGGGACAATCGAAGGTAGGTACCCGGCAAATGGGCGGGGCTTGACGAAGGGTCATACCCGTCGCATTCCACCCTGACACCACCAGTTTCCTGCTTTCTCCAAAGTCGGCACCAATCTATCAGGAAGATGGCGAGAGTTCGAACCTTTACCAGATTAGTTTAGGATTTGTTACTTTGATATATATCGAAAGGTAATCTAATATTTCATCGAAGTTCTCACAATTGTGATCGAGAAAAATGAATCACCGATTTGTCTTATTGTTCATTCTAATCGTTGATTTTAATTTCAACAACAAAATATACATGTATCGGATAATAGTATATTACTTAACATCTTATTCGTTATCTAACAAGCTTTTATTTTTCGTAGCTCGTTGAAAGTTCGATGAACAAAAAAAAGAAAAAGAAAAAAAAAGGGGGAAGGAAGTGAATTCATCCTAGTCAGATGAATAATAAGTCTCCGGTATTTCCAGCATGCTCTCTTACACGCTCGACTACCCTCCATCATAAATTTCGTATTGAAGATTAAACAGTAGTAGTTCAGAGTCGTAAAAGAAGCAGCAGTAGCAGCAACAGCAGCAGCAAGCGACTACTATATCATGGGAAGGTAGATGAAGAAGAACCCGAACCAATTGAAACCGTCATTCCAAGTCGAAACGTATAACTCGTCATCCGAGGGAGCAAACATTTCTACTTTTCGATGTGCAAACCTTGCTCTTGGAAAGCTTGCTCTTCAACAGTGCTGACCATTTCGCATCTCATTCAGACGTTGCCATTCATACCCCTTTTCCCCCGGACCCCCCCCCTCATCCTTTATCCTCTCTAACGATTCACATACTTAATGGCTTGGTTAACCTTGCATTTATACAGCTTCATATACGGGATTCTTAGAACAAATAGTTCGAACTGTCAATTTTCATTGGGATATGAAAATATGAAAGAGCATGAATCGTGATAAAGGGGAGGAAGAGGAGGAGGAGTAACTTCTAAGGAAAAAAATATGAAGGATAATAGGTGGTAATAGGAATTTGTAGGTACGGTTAAGTAATGTCTATGATGAGACACGTGAATACTACTAAAGGCAACGTTAGAGTGCGAAACAACGTAGTACTACCGGCGAGGATTCCTTTGTGACGCAAAGCTGCTCGACGTTTGCCAGCCCCCATCGTTCAATGCGGAGCGTTCTTTTTTTTTATGTCAACACGAGGGCCAATTGAGTGGATATAATAGCGGTACCACATGTTTCACTCGGATTCGCCGACATGTGGGCTATGCTGGTAATGCGTCTGTATACATATACATATACATACATCTACATATATATATATATATAGATATATTATATATATGTAGATATATTATATGTGTGGTAGCTAGCATGCGCACGCGCGCATGTGCTTTCACAAACGGGTCCATGCTGGCTGGCTGGCTGGCTGGCTGGTTGGATGGCTGCATAGGGTAAATCGCACGAATAATAAACGACGATCCTCGAAGTCATCTAATTGATCGTCGTGATTTCGCTATTCCCATCTCTCTCTCTGTCTCTCTCTCTCTCTCTTCTATTTACTCGAGCATCAATGCCTGGCACACTTCAGTACGTCCTCGCTCGAGAAACACTAGTTGAATTAGCCAACGAAACGTGGCTGGCTTCCTATTGTAATTTCGGATATTCCTATGATCGATTAGAGAGATTTTTCGATCGTTTAGTATGATTTATAACAATGAATCTTTATTTATTATATTTTTCAGGCGTATCATGCAACCATTCTCAACGGGCAACACGATGGCGACGGAGACCCCGACCAGTCTACCACCGGAGAAGGTGAGCTCGCCACCATCCTCTCGGAACTTGACCTTCTCCATAGCGAAGATCATGGAACCGGACAAACGTTTGACCGAACAAGCGAACCCAACTCAGACGGTTCAAGCAGCAGTGGTCCCACCGCCACCACCACCACCACCACCACCACCCCCATCGACGACTACCGCAACACCCACGACCACTCCGGCTGGTATCCTTCATCAGGCATCATCTCATTTCCCAGCACTGAGCCAACGTTACTCCGCTCATTTGGAATCGGCGTTCAAAAAATACGTGCCAACGTTGAGGCATCAGAATCTTTATCCCCTCCTCTACTATAATCCGAGTCCGTTGTTAAGGGCCTTTCCAGGTTCGCCAGCTACCACTCCGAGCGTAGCCCAAACCTCCCCACCACCGAGTTCTGTTCAGGACACTTACGTTTCCTCGAGGTTTAGCCTGGTCACAATAACGCCGGAAAATCAACGCGGCAAAAAGGGTTCCGTTCAAGACACTTCTTCCATTTCATCGAGGCTCAGCTTGAGGACGATCTCACCGGAAAGTCAACGGGGAAAGAAAAGTCCAACTCCTCGTAACGAGATAAACGGTACTAACAAACAAAAAACGTTCACCTGTTCTGAATGCGGCAAAGTTTTCAACGCACATTACAATCTAACGCGTCACATGCCGGTGCACACGGGAGCACGGCCATTCGTATGCAAGATATGCGGAAAGGGATTTCGTCAGGCTAGTACTTTGTGCAGGCATAAGATCATTCACACTGCTGAAAAACCACACAAATGTCAGACCTGCGGTAAAGCGTTTAACAGGAGTTCAACATTGAATACTCACACGCGCATACACACCAATTACAAACCTTACAGGTGCGAGGTCTGCGGCAAGGGATTTCATCAGAAAGGAAATTACAAGAATCACAGGTTGACGCATAACGACGAGAAAGCTTACAAGTGTACCGTATGCAACAAGGCATTCCATCAGATCTACAATCTTACTTTTCACATGCACACCCACAACGATAAGAAACCGTTCTCATGTAAGATATGCGGAAAAGGATTTTGCAGGAATTTCGATTTGAAGAAACACATGAGAAAATTACACGACTCTGGGTTACCCGTATTGGCTGGGCTCGGTACTTCCAGTCAAAGCCATAACCAACAACCGGGTTACTCGTCGATGCATCAACCAACCGATGGACGTTCCTTCGTCAGTCCGTTCCTCTTACCGCCACCAAATTCAACCAGTTATCTCACTAAAATGTTGTGACATAGTGAGAACATTCCTTATCCGAGGAAAACTCAATGCCCATTGATGTTGGCTCCACCCTGTTACGCCGGGGACATCGCTCAATTGGCTCAACCATCTAAATGAGAGGAAAACCAACCACGTCTACCTGAGACTGACCGAAGTAACAACAACAACAACAAAAAGATTTAACTAAGAATAAAAGAAAAAAGAAGATAAGATATATCCCCGACGATCTTATAGAGAAGAAAAAAAAAAAGAAGAAGAAAAAAGGGAAAAAAAAAAACATTTATCTCTCTCAGATTTAGGAATAAAATGTCATCCAACAGAAATCCCGATTACGGGACAAATGCAGTCCTGGCCCTACTGAAATTTGGATCAAAGGCGAATTATGTTCCCCAACATGGTAGAACTCTTTTGAACCTAATCGAGTAGCAATTCAGGAGTCCACTGGGAACGATTACACCTGTTTCGGCTAAAAGACGTCTTTGCAATTCACGCGAGAACAAATTCTAAATCGTTCTTAATCGTTACTGTGTGACGGGATTTATAGTTCGAGTATTAACCCTCGAACATTTATCATTCTCATCGTTCTTATTCAGTGAATAAAGGTATTGTTCACTTAAACGTTAACACACGATTATGATGATGATGACGATGATGGACAATCATCATTGTGACAATTAAATCAGTTTCCTGAAGATTAGTGGAAACACTTCAGTGTTTTGATCTTGCGTACGTAAAAATAATCTAAATGAAAAGAACTTTGAAAAATAAAAAAAAGAAACACGAAAAGAGGAAACTGATAAATATATCGAACAAATCAAAGGATTATCGATTAAGATCGGTACGCTTCTTTATCGATGACATTAACTAGTATGTGTAAATATTTGTATATATTTGTATGTGCAAAGCAAATACATGGATACATGGTTTGCGTTAGATTCTACGTGGATGATGTATATGCGTGTGTGTGCGTGCGTGTATGCATGCGTGAGTGAATGAACGAATGTGCATAAGAGTGAAAATAATAAGAATATAAATGAAAATATATATATATATATGAAATCGATTATGATCACGTAAATTTGTAATTAAATACTTAGGCATAATCGTTTGTGTGACACAACACGATTCTCAAAATAATGATCGTTCGAGAAACACGATTAATTGAAATCAAACACACTCGTATGGATCTCAAGACATGATTAGAAATATATATATATATATATATATAAAAAAAACAAGTCCCCCCCCCCAAAAAAAAACAAAAAAGAAAATTACAAATAAAACGTTTGTGAACGAGGAGGAAACAAAAAATTATAAAATCCTAGTTATGATTGATATATCATTTAGAGAGAAGATATTAACAAAAAAGAAAAGAAAAAAAAAAAACAGAAAAAGGAAAAAAAAAAAGCAGAAAAGTGTATAAATTCGGTGTGATAGTAGTTTTTAAGTCGATTCGTAGATAGCTAATGAAATGTTGGATCCTTTAATTATTATCGATCGTTGTAATCATTCATCGTAGAATTACGTCGCGATCGTTTAGGCCAATGGTGTAATTTCACGATTACAAACTGGCTCTTTGCAATAGAATCAAGATGAAAAAAAAAAGAGAGAGAGAAAGAAAAAGTAAAAAAAAAAGAGTATTATTATGATTACGACGAGATCGTGTACCTAATTCTCCCTATTTATGCATTTTTATTTACGTCTTCCGATATTACATACATAAATACATACATACATACACACACGTACATAAATAAATGCATAAAAACACACACACATACGTAATTATGTAATAAAATAAAAAAGAAAAAAAAAAAAAGAAAGAAAGAAAGGAAGAAAAAAAAAAACGTCATGTTGAAAATAAACGATGTAATACTTCGTCTAATTCGTTAATAATAATTCATCTTACTATTTGCTATTTACTATTTTCCATTTCATTTGATTTCATTTTAATGATGCAAATTTGTGTTTTAATTGAACTTACAATTAGAAGAGGTGTCAGATCAAAAAAAGTGAATAATATGTAACGCATTTATACAATTACGAATTAGATGAATGTCGTAAGATATCGTCAAGGATGAGGATAAATTAATTAAATTAAAAATGATAACGATGATGATGATGATGATGATGATGATGATGATGAAGAAAAGGAAAGAAGAGAAAAAAAACCAAAAATCACACAAAAAAAAGAAAGAAAGAAAGAAGAAGAAGAAGAAGAAGGAGAAAAAAGGTAAAAAAAGTAAAAGTAAAAGTAAAATAAAACCTACACGAAAAAAAAAAAAAAAGAAATAATATATGTAGATAATCGATAGATTGTAGATGAAAATGCATATTGTATGTGTTCCCTTGTTGTAAATATGAATATATCCAATGCAATAAAATTTTAAATGATATCGACAGAAACCTGAAAAAACAAAATTTCATACTTCCCGATTTTGATTATTATTTTACATAATATATTATCATCCCAACCCCCCACACCCTTTCTCTCACCAATATGTCTATCGGAAAACAAAATTCGCAAACGTTTACCAACCACAGTTCGAGTAATTCCTTTGCAGTTTAAATCAATAATAATAATAGATTCGATGATCGTTATATATAAACTCAAAAGCAAATATTATATAATATGATACCTAACAAATTTGCCACCTATGTATATATACTTACGTATTATATCATCCTATATATAACGAGAATATGTAGAACCGTGAATAGGGTGAGAGAGACACAAGGGGGTGGTGAAAAAAGGAGGGTGGGTGGAAATTGAATTGAAATTTACACGCTTTATTCGTTTGGTTATCGTTTGATTTTCAATTCGTAAAAATTATTCAATTTTTCTTTAACCCTTCTTTGCATGATTTTCTTTTTTTTTTTTTTTTTTTTTGGAAGTTGCCAGCAACAACAAATATACAGTACAAGGGTTTTGAGTACCTTTTTTTGTTGACTAAATATTATGATTGAAATTTCCATCATCATGCAAAGAAGGGTTAAGCGAATACGCGAGTAGAAATGACAATTAATATTCGTATCGATATTATATATTATTATCCTCGAATAAAACATATCGATCGTGACAAAAAGAAAAAGGGCGGGGCGGGGGGGGGGGGGGAGGGAGGAGGAAGAGGGCTAGAGAATACACATATAAAAGATAATTGAGAGAAAGAGAGAATGGGGGTTAACACGAATAATCTCTCGGGAACATCATTGTTGGCTATCGTCATCGGTTTCGTTTTAAAATCGATACTTCATCTTGCGATAAGCGAGAATGAAAGGAAGGAGACCCCCTTAAAACACATCGTATCTATTACTCTAGTCGACACGATCTTTTCTTCTTGAGGGGTGGAGGGAGGGGGATTGAAAATGGGTGTAGGTATATCAATTGGTATCTACATAATACATATGTTTTCTTATCTATAGATATTTTCTTTCATTTTCTTTTTCTTTTTTGTTTCTTGTTTGTTTTTATAGTTATAACAAATATATACGGTTGAGAATTATTGAGTCGTACTACTTAGTGTATGGATTTTTATAGAATTACACTGTGTAGAATGTAATGTGCATGTAAAACTTGATAAGAAAATATGAGAAACTTTTAACAATCTAATAGATTAATACTATTATTCACAAACTTAAATGATACAACCATTTCAATGCCCGCGTGGTGTGTTTTATATTATATTTTAATATTATATTTTACAAATTTTCGAAAATATGCTGACATCGTTTGAAAAGTGAATCACTCACCACTAGTATCTACACGTAACGTATGTATATAGTCAAGACGAAAATCAGACAAAGCGAACGAGACGTATCATCTACCATTAGATACGATGCGATCTCTCTGTGTGACCGAACAAGCCAATGAGATGTATCACGAAAGTGAGAGAAAGAGAAAGAAAGAGAGAGAGAGAGAGATAGGACAAGAGGGTGGTTGATACGTCGAGGGTCAGAGGAAAGAGAGGGATGACGTGCTTCTCTGCTGATATTTGCAAAAGATATCGTAGGAACCTTCTGATGTATCTCCAGAATCTGTCCTCTATATCCATTAAATCCGAGCTCATCCACTCCCACCATCCCCTGATCTGTCTCTTATCAAATGGGTGTCGGTCGTTACAGCGCACCCCCTCTACAGACTGTCACACGAGCTACTACGTGTCAATGAGAGGGATTCCTCTTTTCCAGAGGTCAGCACAATTTATACAACTACCTACTATTTTCTATCCACTACCCACTACCCACTATCCACTACTACCCACTACTACCCACTACCCACTACTACTACCCACTACTATCCACTACTATCCAACCAACCAACTCAACCTAACGATCTCTTCGAATCGATTTTTCTAGTTTTTCTTTTTATTTTTTTTGTCTAGTTATTCCCAACGAATGAATCTTATCAATTAACGTGATACGCGTATTCGGATAGGTATATGTTCGATTCTATCGGTTATCCGATTTTATTAGATATTTGGTTAGTCTGGTTCTTGATTATACGTTTCCGATGATAGAGAAATAAAATAGATAGTATATGATAGAAATAGAAAGATTGAAAGATTAGATGAATAATTTTATAACGAGGATATCATTTTCATTTGAATTTATTTTCAATGTTTCGTTGGAACATACGAGAGAGAAAAATATTCTGATCATTAGACTATAATATTCTTCTTATTGAAATGATTTAATTAAAATTTGTTCTCGTCGAAAAAAAAAACAAAAAAATATATATATAGAATAGAAATTGACAAAAATGACGGGAATTTGTTGTAATCCCGTTACAAAAGGAATCATCATCGAAATATTATCATCGAAAAAGAGAAAAATAATTCATTCGAATTTATATCCCGTCAAAGAAAAAAGAAAAAAAGTGGACTAAAAAATAAAGTGAATTTGTAAATCGCGTTAGAAACGAATAATACCGAAGAAAAAATATGATCGTTATCGTGTCAAATAGAAAGAATTTGGTCAGGAAGTTAGAATTCTTAGAGAACGACAATTCCCATAACCTTTTTCTTTTTCTTTTTTTTCGGAAAAGCAGCAGGAAGTCCATCGGTCCGGTTCGGTCCGGCCTGGTCTTATGGTTGAAAGGAAACGTAGGTGTAAAAATTTGTCCTTAGGTAACCCAGCAGGGGTTGTGTACAAACAAGTATTTAGTCGACGTTTAATAGGAATTATCCTCAACGAGCAGGGACAATTAGGGGTGGATTATTAACACCTGGAAACGGCGTCACGCTGTCTGGCAAATCAACGACGAGAGGATTTGGTCGAACTACGAAGATCCCTCGTAAAGAAAAAGAAAAATAAAAAGGAAGGAAGGAAGAAGAAGAAAGTTACGTGCAAAACTTTCCTTTTCCTCCCTTTCTCTCTCTCTCTCTCTCTCTTTTCCTTTCAATTTTTGGTCTCTCTCTTTCTATTGGTAACACTCGATGCAAACTCGGTCTAGCGCGATTCCGCTTTGTGAATTTTGCTCAAGCGATGAAAGGAAGCAGCGGTCTAATTGTAAGTTGGATTCGAACAACCGTAAAATCCTTTGAACCATGCCTTCTTTTCGATATCTCGAACGAAGGGAACGATTTCTCGAAAGAGAGTCTGTCTGTCTGTCTGTATGTCTTCTCGAGTAATTTTCTAACGTATAACTTACTGCTCTACTTTCTATTCCTATTTTTTTTCTTTTTTTTTTTTTAGCAAAAAATAAGACACCTGATACAAAATGTGTGAAGGTTATTATATATTGCTAATATAATAAATTTTTTTATGCAAAATTTTTCTAATATTTTGATGATATAGGTTCATAGGGAACTTGGACATGAAAAGAAGTAGAACTTAATTTAATTGAGTTGGACGTTTCGTCCCTTTATTGGGACTTATTCAGCAACTTAATCATTAAATTTTGTCTATTTCTAATATTATTATTAAGTTCAATCTTAGGGATATTTTGTTGGACAGGTTTAAATTAGATGAACAATCTATTTAATCAGTTGAACGTTTCGTCCCTATATTTGGGACTTCCTCAGCAACTAAAATTTTTATTATGACATATTATTACTTATACAAATACAACAAAATTTATTTATATATAATTCAAATTACTAAACGATTCATTTAAATATTTTTACAAAATTTTATAAATCCTAATGAATGATTGAATCGACTGTAAAAATTAATATAAATATAAAAAAAAAACAAAAATGAGTATTTAATCAAGAGACTCAATATCAAAAAAATCAAGATTTCAATTTTTTTAAAATAACCTCACAACAACTTTGAATAACTTTTTACTCTAACTAATATTTAAATACCAAAGTAAATGAAATACCTAGTTAACGTGTAATGGGGGATTCATATGGGAATAATGTAAAACGGATAGAACTGGTGATACTCTTCTTCCATTCGTCGAC